ACTCTGTCTGAAGCGGACTGCCTGAGCAGAAAATTTCCAGAAGCAAAAACGGGATTTTTTCTCTTTTTCTCTCAATCTCTAAAACGAAACTCTCTTGATTTTTCTCTCTTGTGTTTCTGAAAATAAGACCAAATAAGCCTTATATATGCCACATAATATTTTGGGTTATGGGCTAAAGTGGGCTAGTCCTAATAAGACTTTTATTTATCCACATAGGAAGGGAAAAAAGATCCTAAACCCAACAGTTACCAACGTATAAATTTCATATAGTTATAGAAGTGTGTGTTTGATTCTAACAATGAAATACAGCTCGTTATGCTGAAACTGATTTTATAAATCAGCAGTTACGTGTTTGGATAAAAGTGCTGACACTGTTAATAAGTAGTTATCGATGGATTTCTAATGTTCTTGACACCTGAAAAAGTTGCTTCTAACTCTTCACTTTCTCGACGGATTCTTTATATACTCATCTTGGAGAGAACTAGTTCTGTTGTTATATTAAGATTGATATGTTTCCACAGGAGAAAGCATTTAGCAGAAAAAGGAGCTTTCGCAATAAAATCAAGAAAAGAGGCAGAGAAGCTTCCTCCCACATGAGGTGAAAATGTGATTTTGTCTTGGGAGTGAGTTTCTATTTGCATTTGTTTCTCCACACTGTTTGTATTTTAGAGTATTATTGTAATATCCCTTTACTGTAAAAGAAATTAATTAGTTCAGAGTATTTAATATGAAAGTTAACACATTTCCCAGTCATGAAGTGAAGTTGAATATAAAGATCACACAAACAAGTTCTATTTTAGGACTGAGGTGTAGTTGTTATTGTTTTTTGTTCACATGGGGTAGAAGCTTGTTAAACGAATGTTTAGCCATATTTGTGAAAGGTTACAGATCTTAAACTTACTTTAAAAGACGATATATAGAAAATTTGAGTAACAAAAGATGCTACGTGATTTCTTCCTATCTCCTTATGTCTTCATGGTCAAAGTTACTCTTATGAAAAAAACAAAAAATTCCATGTTTAATATAATCTGATTTCTTTGCAATCAATTGAGCTAATAAGCCATGAAAACAATACAATATAATAGACCACGAGCTAGCCTGTAAGCATTTTAGCTTAAAACAAGTGCTTAAACACATCTTTTATCTTATCCAAACGCTACAGAAGAGTTTAAAAGTACCTAAAATAAGTCGATCTAGACAAAGGCAATCAAGGATTTCTTGTACTTCATGTAGCAAGCTAAATTTAGACTATTAACAAACTCATTAATAGTCTTATCAGAGCTACCTCCTTCACTAACTGTTTTCTTAGCCAAATTTCTCAATTTTGTAGCATTTCTTCTAATCTCATAACTCTTTTCCCCTTTCATTACCTCCTTTAAACAAAACAACAACTCTTCTCTTTTAACAATTCCTAACAACTCATCCAACTTAGGCCTCACACCAATCTCCCATATCTCATCTATAAACTTAGCATCCGTCATTTGATCAGACCATTGTGGCATTGCAACCATCGGCACGCCAAGGCTTAGTCCTTCAAGAGTCGAGTTCCATCCACAGTGAGTCACAAAACAACCAATAGCTTGATTTGCTAGCGTCTTGAGCTGATTGCACCATGAGACAATGAGTCCTTTACCTTCTGTGGATTCTATGAATCCTTTAGGCAATTTGCATTTTTCAGTATCTCTTACAACCCAAAGGAAATTCATGTTGATGCCTATTAAAGCATATGCTATTTCTTCCATTTGTTTTGGTGTGAGTGATACCATGCTTCCAAATGAAATGTAAATTACTGATTGTTTTGGCTTTGTTTTTAGCCAATTGAGGCATTCTTCACTAAGGGGTTTCCATAGACTTGCTCCATAACCTTTGTCATTTTCTATTCTTCCATCCAAATATGATGATGGCACCATTGGTCCTATCAACTTTGCTGGCCAAAACTTTGAAATTCCTCTTGCTATCTGAAAATTTTTATACAAAAAAAAAAAAGTTTATATTCATAACAATTCGAATTTGACTAATCAATCTGAAAAATATTTTGAATTTGTCCATGTTAGAGCAATGTTAGAGCGGTAAGTTATGTTTGATCAATGTTCTATAAGTGCTTTCGAGAAAAAGGCTAGTTTTTTTTTACCCTCCCTAGGAGCTCCCACCCTTTTGCTCCCTTGGTGACTTGAACTCGCAACCTTCGGGTTGGAAGTGAGGGGTGCTTACCATCCGAGCAACTCCCTCTCGTCAAAGGCTAGCTTTTCAACTTATGAAAAAACAATTTTTGTTATTACTCAAAAACACTTACTCTCTTCGTTTCAATTTGTTTTCTAATTTTGACTTGACACTGAACTTAAGCAAGAAAATAAAACTTTTGAATTCTGTAATCTTAAACTAAAAATATGTAGAATATATCAAAATGTCGTATAATCTCGTGGGCTTAAATATGTAAAAAATTAAAATTAAAGAGTGACGGAAAAAAAAGACATTTTTTTTTACATAAACTAAAAAAAATAATCAAATAAAAACAGAGGGAGTTTTTTCTAAACCAAACACTTTTAAACTTTTGGAGAACTTTTCCTTGCCACCAGAAGTCGGTGATAATGTATAACGAATCAAATCCAGAGAAAATAAAATATCAGGATACCAGACAGAAAATCATAAAAGTGACAAAAGATAGGGGGCGCAATTATTGAAATGCAACAAAATATATGACTCCCCACACACATAAATGAAGTGGTTCACATTATTTTTGTTCATAAAACACCTCTGAAATTAGTTTCGCTTCTAAATTATTGATAATTTTAAAAATATTTTTTTATTTGATTAATTAAATTTAGATATATCCTTATATATTTTGGATCTGTCAGATTGTCACATGACATAACAAGTGATTTTAAATTCTTATAGGAGCACGAGATTTTTAATAAAGTCGAGAGAAGAGTTGAAAAAAGACATACCTCTCCTTCAAGCTCTTGAAAAGAATTGTCAAAAATCCAATCAGCATTTTCCAGATTAGAGAATTGGCTCATTTTCATAGCTAAATAAGCAGGGTAACTTTCAGGCTCTCTAATAAACCCAGGAACATCAATTGGGTACAAACAAGGCAAACCAGGCAATAACAATGGCTCATTTTCTTCGATTTTCACAGGCAACGAAAACGTTCCATGGTGAATATGAGCAAACACAGCACAAACTGTAGCTGAATTCGTAAAAAAAGATGCTCCATATATCCCATGTTTTTTCGCGACATCAAGAGCCCATGACAAGAAGGAATCATAAACAATGCAACTTATAGGATGTGTTGAATTTTCGTATTTTGTGATTATTTGTGATAGAGTTCTCGAACCATTTTCTCTGAACGATTTGAGGAATACGTCTGTATTTTGGGCTTGAGTGAAACCACCTTCGTCAAATCCATCAGAAATTGGTTCAACAGAGATGTTAGGTGAATAAATAGAGTTAACAGTGTATTTAGTTGTGGCTATTGTTGATTTAACACCTTTTGAAGCTAAACGTTTTGCAAATTGGAGAAGTGGGTTAATGTGACCTTGACTTGGGTATGGTACTAATATAACATGAGGTTGAATTATTTTACCTACCATTTTTGGTGTATACAATATGATATAGAAAAAAGAAAGTTATTAATGTGTTTGGTAACGTTTTTATTTGAATGATAAAAAATGAAACGATATCGAAAATTATTTATAGGACAATTATGTGTTCTACTTGTGAGAAACTCGGCATGATGTCATTTCTCTTACGCGGGGTTCATGACGTTTTTTTTTTTCAAAAAGTGATTTTATTTTGTGTATAAAAAGTGTTGATATTTTTTTCCACTTGAAGTACTTTTTTGGCCTATATATTATAAAAATTGTTTATAGGGTCCCCAAATCCTCAATATCATGAGGTATTGAATCATCATTTTTGTTAAAATTTCAGATGGAATTTGCTTCCTTTGTCACATGTCGATAGCCTTACAAATGAATAGGTTTTTGGATAATTCCTAACAATTGTTATTAGTCGTCATCATTATTAGTTGTCATCATTATTGCATCCGCAACAGTTACATGTCGCCACCACTTGATCACAATTGATAGTCTTAATTATTAGTCACTATCACTACTAAGTTCTCTCTCAGTCTAATTTTATGTGGTGTTTTTTCCTTTTTAGTTTGTCTCATAAAGATCATGTCACATTATTATTATAATTAGAAATAATTTAATTTTAATTCATCATTTACCCTTAACGAAGAGCCTGTTTGGATTAACTTAAAAAAATAGTTTTAAGTTAAAAAATAAAAAGTCAAACTGAAATGACTTTTAAGTCAAAAAATAAAAAGTAGGTAGGTCTAATTTTGGTTTTCAACTTTTTAAAGTCATTTTAAACTTATTTTATATTATTTTTAACTTTGCCAAACACTCACCAACTTATTTTAAGTCATTTTTTTTTTTACTTATTTTAAGTTATTTTTATATTTGTCAAACACCTCAGAAAAATAAAAATTGACTTAAAAGTAGATTAAACCAACTTTTAAGCCAATCTAAACACCATCGAAATGAGTCTCAAGTCTCAATTATGTACACAAATATCTAAGAATTATTTTAAATCACAAGTTTCAAAAAAAAAAAATTCTTAAACTTCGTGTTAAATCAAAGGATACCATATAAAATGAGAGGAGGGAAGTGCTAGTTATACTATCAACCACCATCACCAATATAGCCGGCTAACACCACAATCCATCTTAGCTATCGCGGCCACCAAATCACCAAATAATTTTATAAAAAATATATTTTAATATGTTGATAAATTAAATTTACTATTGTATTTGAACTTTGTACTCTACTTAAATAGCAATAAAGATAATTAATTTTTATACATTTAGATGTTGACAAAATAAATTATCTTAAATAATTGATACTCAAATCTCAATATAAATCTTAATATTTAGTTGTATTTTAGTCAAAATATTTTTATTTTAATGTACATTTTAACATTTAAATTGGTATTCAAATCTAAGTGTATTAATCTTAAAGAGGAATAAACACATTACTCCTCTATTTTAAATTGATTGTCCAATTTTGACTAAACAGAAAATTTAACAAAAAAAAAAACTTTAAGTAAATAGAGATTTTTTTTTTCGTATAAAAGGTGTTGATATTTTCTCTCAAATGAAGTACTTCTCTATCCTATATACATTCTAAAAGCTGGTTATAGGGTCCCTCAAATCCTCAATGATTCAATATCATGAGCTATTCAATCATCATTTTTGTTAAAATTTCAGATGCAATTTGCTTCCTCTCTCACATGTCGATAGCCTTACAAATGAATTAGGTAATACTTTCTTCATTTTAATTTATGTGACCTAATTTAATTAGGTACTATGTTTAAAAAATATGAGAAGACTTTATAGTCTTATAATAAATAACTTTTTAAATAAATATTCTAGTCTTTTAAAACTCATTATCAACAATTCATCACTAGCTATACTACCGACAACAATCACCATTATCGCCAGTCAGCACCAAAAGTTATTCTTAGTGCGTCATCGCGACACCTAAATCATCCAATAATTTTCTTAAAAAACATATACTTTAATGTGTTGATATATTAAATTTACTAATATATTTTAATTTATATGAAGTTTATACTCTATTTAATTTTCAATAAAAATAAATATTTTTTATACATTTAGATATTGTAAACTTTTTTATCTTAAATATTTAATATTCATATTTGTATTTTAATTCAAACGTCTTGATCATATG